TTCTTCTTCAGGTAACTTTAATCAGTTGTGTTCCATGAATGCTGCAAGTTGTTTGGCATACGAAAGACCAGGACAACTCCACTTCACCCACAGTTTGATGGGATGGTAGAAAAGTACAATTGGACACTGGGACAGGAATTGGCAACGTTTTGTAATAGCCACCAAGATGACTGGGATGTCTTACTTCCTCCACTGTTGATGGCCTATAGAACATAGAACAGCAGAGCATGAGACCACTGGATACACTCCAGCAAAACTGATGTTTGTTCGAAAACTAAGGTTGCAAGTGGACCTGATAACAGGACGCCCACCTTAAGAAGAGTTGCCTGAAAATGTTATCTGAAGGGATGGATGATATTCATCATCAAGTGAGTTCAAACTTGAAAACGTCTGCTGATTCCATAAAGCTATGTTTTGATAAGAAATTTACTGAAGTCAGCTTTGTACCAGGAGACAAAGTGTGGTTGTATAATCCCAGGAAGACGAAAGGGAAGTCTCCAAAGTTGCCTTCTCCACGGGAAGGCCCATATGACATAGTGGATCGTCTCTCAGACGTGACTTTCCGAATCAAATGTGGTCAGCGAGGTAAGCCAAAGGTGGTGCATGCCAACAGGCTTTGGCATTATCACAGTCCAGGACATTTCAGTTAGGACGAAGTGAACAATGGAACAAATGACGCTGTTACAGATGTGTCACCTGAAAAAGCCACTGTTGGAGAAAAAATTACCCGGTTTTGAGAGGGAAAACAGTGAGGCCATTAATTAAGTTATTACCGATAATGGGACATTTCCTGATGGAGCAGATGAACCCCAAATGAAGCAGAAGCCAATGAGACAGAGACCAGTATGGAAGAAGATACATCCTGTAAAATTAAGAGACTTTGTTGTATTTTAATTTTTTTATGACAGAGTACCGAGAGAGGAAGTGTGGAGATGCCTGAGAGAGAAGGGAGTGTCTGAAAAGTATGTGAAGTTGGTGAAGGATATGTATGAGGGAGCGAGGACGCAAGTAAGAACCAGTGTCGGGCTGCCGGAGAAGTTCACAGTAGCAGTTGGACTTCACCAAGGCTCTTCTCTAAGCCCATACATCTTCGACATGATAATGGATGTGCAGTGCCAAGGGATCATCGAACCGGCACTTTGGGACATGTTATTTGCAGATGACATAGTCCTCATAGATACCACCAGGGAGGGAGAAGAGCAGAAATTGAAGAGATGTAGGAGAGCGATGGAGGACAGAGGACTTAAGGTCAGTAGAGAGAAGACGGAGTATATGGTTTTTAATGGAGAAGAGGAAATGGGGGATGTTACTTTACTTAACGATAAACTTAAAAGGGTAAACACCTTTGAGTATCTTGGGTTCTATGTGGCATCAAACGGTACACTTGACTCTGAAATAAACCATAGAATCCAGTCAGGATGGAGAAATTGGAAAAATTGGAAAAATGCGTTGGAAGTGCTATGCGACAATAAGATCAGCGCAAGGGTGAAAGGAAAGGTCTATAAAACCGTTGTGAGACCTGCGATGATGTACGGAGCGGAAGCCTGGCCCATCAAAAAGGCTCAAGAGAAGAAATTAGAGATAGCTGAGATGAAAATGTTGAGATGGATGTGTGGAGTGACGAGGCTTGATAGGACTAGAAACGAGAGGATTCGAGGAACAACTAAAGTGGTGGAAATATCGAAGAAAGTTCAGGAGAGAAGATTGCAGTGGTATGGGCACCCAAGAAGGTTTTGGATATGGATGTGGAGGGGAGAAGGAAGAGAGGAAGACCAAAGAGAAGATGGAAGGATTGCGTGGATGGAGATATTAGAGAGAAAGGCCTTGGTGGGGACGAATACGAAGACCGAATAGCGACCCCGTATAGATACGGGAAAAGCGACAGAAGAAGAAGAAGTTGTATTTTAATTTTGTGTTTGTAAATTCTGTACATTTAATTATTGTTAATTGTATTGTTAACAATTGTATTGTTAATTATCTATTGGTTAAATGTAAGTGGCTATTGTTCGGGACAAACAATACTAAGGAAGGGGCAGTATTACAACAGCAGAAGTCACCTGATTCTGGGAGCATGTGCACTTGAGTTTCTAGAATTATCGAGGAACCCACGAATGTCCAAGTGCTTGCTAGACGCCATCTTTTTTTTGTATATAAGCCTGGCAAAGAAAGCCAGTGATATAGGCAGATAGATTGAAGAGATAAATAGATAATTGAATCAAGCCAACAGTAGGCACCATAAGTAAAGTGTTTGAATCACTGCGAGTTATAGCGTGTGTTATAAAAGTTGTTAAGTGTATTACAAAGTTTGTATATTGAGAAAGATAAAACTAGTTTTAATCAAGAAGGAACTTGTATCACTGAAGTTTCTTGGAAAGAATTTTTATCGGAAATTATCAAACGAGCAGATACGTACCAATATTGTTTACTTATACAGGTAAAAAATATTCTGTTAATCATTGACTTTTATTCAGTGTGACCCTTGAGCCTGATGAACAATTGAAAGTTTTGAATGTCCGGTTGCAGTGTGGTCAGTGATATGCGAAGATCACCTCTCTTCACAACATCAAGGCAGTTACGTATTTTTGATAGAAAATGAGTCGCCTGACTAAAACCAGATTCAACCATATAAGATGTGGGAAAAGCGATAAAATACAACTTTGCCTTTTCCCATAGCTGTGGAAGCTTATTAGCTATTTCACTACTTATTCAGAAATAATGTTTGTCACATTTGAATCTAGCTTGTGCTGTTATATCACTTTGCTGCTCTTGAGGATCAGTCAAAAACATTCACAGATATCAGACAAACATTTTGATTGTTAGTCAAGTACTAGTCACGTCTGGTAGCTTGACTTCTGAGTTGTGGGGTATATGGAGAGAAGGAAACCTTTGATTCAATCATAAATTTTAAATATTTATTCGGGCAGTGAAGTTTCGGTGGCCCCTAATTTTCTGTCATTTCGCATGTGGCCCCTTATAAATATGGCGTGGCCCCCTGGGGGGGGGGGCAAATGGCCCACGTTGAGAACCACTGGTCTAGAGGATAATATTCCAGGCCCATGCAAGTATCTCTTGAGTTTGTGACAGCACTTCTTGGAAATGACACCTTTCAATTGCAAAGGAGGCTTCTGATGTTCTAGCAGTGCCAAGACTTGTGTCTATCTGCCAGATTGCCCCTGGCAGTGATACTTTTAGAGTTAGTATCTTGATGAGGAGGTGCAGAGGGTAGCTCAAATTTTTCCAGTGACAGGGACTGGATACTGGACCACTTGGAAAGTATATTGGCTTAGTATATTGCACCCAAACCTTTTGTAGAATACTAAATAAGATACTGCAAAGGTCGTAGGAGTATTGTAAAGTCGATTTGTTTCTTCTATATTTTACACGAGCTAAAAGCATTATAAATCTAGTGTAAATGATGTTATCATTACCCCTTGGAGTTACCTTTTTCACAAGTATCTGGTGTTCCTTTCAAAAGCTTAAGTACAGGGTGAAACAGGAATTACCAGCCAATAATAGATGAACATTAAATGACAGAAACATGTAAATGCCCAATGCTTTGGAGCCAACCTTTACATTATGTAGGAAGTGAAGGAGTAAAATAAAAAAATATTTGAAAAGGCTGCTTTTCTGTTGGTAATTTTTTTTGCTCTTAGTTAAGTTGTATCTTACTCTCGGCATGTATTTGCCCATTGCTATGCATTATATATAGAGAGTGAATGTATTTACACAGAAACTATAAATGCTCACAGTATTCTCAAACAAATCTCCATGACAATCTCCATCTGAAGCTTAACATTTTACATCTCGAACTAATGCGATCAAATAGCCAATAGCTACGGTAAATCATCATGAAGCATATCATCTAACTACTAGCCATGTTTATTATCATTACAATCTATAAAGTTAGCTACCATATCAAGCAATCATTTGCTTATAGGTGAGCATAAACAAAAACACAGCGAATAAGATAGATAAAATATTGGAAATTTAAAAACGTGCAAACAGGAAACGTAAAAAAGTAAAGAAACAAAGCTGGAGATACTGTAGGCATTATTTACTCAAACTAATCCCTATTTTGACTCCACCAAATGTAATCCTGGGTAACAGCATGGAGTTAAAATAGGTTTGAGTAAGTAATATCTACAGTATCTCCTTGTTTCTAGGCCTGGCATGGCCAGGTGGTTACGGCGCTCGACTCGCAATCTGAGGGTCGCGGGTTCGAATCCCCGTCACACCAAACATGCTTGCCCTTTCAGCCGTGGGGGCGTTATTTTGTGACGGTCAATCCCACTATTCGTTAGTAAAAGAGTAGCCCAAGAGTTGGCGGTGGGTGGTGATGACTAGCTGCCTTCCCTCTAGTCTTACACTGCTAAATTAGGGACGGCTAGCGCAGATAGCCCTCGTATAGCTTTGCGCGAAATTCAAAACAAACAAACAAATCCTTGTTTCTTTACTTTTCTATGATTTCTATTTACAGGTTTTTAGATTCCCAATTTTGTATTTATCTTGTTCATACATACATATTGTTATATACATATATCTTAAAATTACATATCATACACTAGTAACTGTGGACAGATTGCCCCTAGTTTGCACGTCATTATCATAGTAACCTACTCGGACAAAAACTGCTAGCTATGTTTTGATAGCCACAGTACCATAACATACTGCTATCTATGAGAAGTGAAATACAACAAGATTTATTGACATCTTGAGATAAATAGTCACTGAAAGAATTCAGCCAAACTAGGACTTTTCAGAAAAAAATCTTAGAATCATTATTAATTTTTGTATTGTTACTCCAATTTGCATCAATACAGTCTCAGACCAATCTAGAATAAATGCAGTAATCCACATTAAAATACGTTTATTGTTTTAGACGTCCACAAACACTAATAATACCACAAAAATTCTCTATTACATACATAAGTCCACTCAATTCAGATATCACGCAAATGTAAATTTAGTCAATCCATTGAAACAAAGAACTGTTTCACTCGGATCACAACCCAGTATATATTCTGTACCGAGAAAGAACGCAACTCCCTCACTGCACGTGGAAGATTTACACATGTGCTGGGTAGAATCTATCAAGTTTTACATAGTTTATTCTGTATATCAGCTTCTATGCTGCTAGATAGTGTGAGAGATTCTTGTTAAATTTTAGACGACCATTTCACCATAGAAAATCGCTTTGCAGCTGAGAAAATACGAGTTGCTATGCTTTTTCAGCTCTGTCCCCCAGTAGCACAGTGGGAAGTCTATGGGTTTACAACATTAAAATTCGTGGTTCAATTCCCCTTGGTGGACACAACAGATAGCTTGATGTGGCTTTGTATATGACAACACATACACACTTTCAGCTGAAGTTTTGAACTAGAAATTTATTTTCTAGTCATTATATCTACTGACATGAGCCATTTTAACTATGGGACTATTGAGCAACTGTCATCCCATATCTTTTGGGATATCTCGTAGTGAAACAGTTTGATAGTTCAGAAAATAAAGGTTGCAAAATGCCTCTGATTCCATTAATCTAGTGGTAAACAAATGATCCTAATTTTGTTATAATTAAGAGGCAATCATATTATGTAGGGCATACATTATATGACAAACATGATAGTACGATAGTTTGGAAAGCAAGGAATGTCACTTCCTTTAAGTCTTTGAAATCAATGACTGTTCTAACTGCAATGTAATCAAGTGGCAATCAGACAGTATAGTGCATACATTTTATAGAAAAAATCACTTACTTCCAGTCAGTGATTTATCAAACAAGTTGTCATTCTAGCTGCTGCTCTGGCAGTTAACCCACCCATAGTGATCAGGAAGTCATCTTTATGATCTCAGCTGACCACTAGTGCTATCCAATTCTTCTTTTTCTGCTGCTTCCTCATCCAATTAATCTCACAGCCAAATAAATATTTCCAGCATTTCCATTCTCATCAGCTGAGTCAGGATGATACAAAACGGTTGTAATATCTGCTCCTGACTCATCAGTCTCGACCTTTGATTCCTAGTCAAGCTAGTGCACAAGGGACTTGTCAGTAATATACAGTGGCAGTTCGTTAAAATGTTCCTCATGATCGTAAGCCACATGCTGTATTTTGTATGTTTAAGTACTAATCCAGCTAAAGCTGAGCTGTTACTGTGCAAACACATATGCATTGGTCAACGTAAATCTTAGCTATTTCGTTATTCTTATAGATACTGGGACATCTGTTGTAGGTACGGGCCGCATATAACATCCATAGAGAGTAACATGTTTTAATGAAAGAGTAACATGTTTGGTGAACAACCAGTAGATCTCTGTTTTATTGCTTGGCATGCTTTCATGGTGAATGGCAAGTGTTCATCCTCGTCAGTTTGGTTAGGAATAAAGAACTTCCCAAGCATCTGCTTGATATATTGTGTTACCTGCTCTTCCAAACCATTAAACTAGGACTGAGAAGGTAAAAAATGTGCATCTTCACTACGTCCAAAACTGCACAACTCGGAGAATAGTTGGTTCTATTTAAATTAACTTCCTTATCTGTATGACTTTCTTCAGATGTGTTAAATCAGACTATACAGAACTCTGTCAACACATCACACACTGCCCACTTAGTGAATAAATCAATAATGACCACTACATACCAATTACTTTATTTAATCTACGAGAGAGGACTACCAATATCCAGGACTATTCTCAGTAAAGGAGAGCAAGTACTTCTCTGCTGAACTTTACACAGTCTATGGTGTTTTTTTTATCTCTAGGCATTGCACACCATGTAGTACTAACACCAGTGCTTAATATAGCCATTGATACTGCTGGTGCATGTTAGCACAAGAGCAGATAGTACTTTGGTGGCCTC